CAAATCTTCTTCAAAAAAAAAAAAAATACATGTAATTATTGGGAACATTATCTACCTTACAAATTAAAACAATTTATTGTTAATTTTAATTATTTTTTAACACATAAAACATATTTTTTTTTTCAATATCTATACTTATATTAAAAGTTAAACTATTTACTAAATGTAGTATGTAGAATAGTCAACCCTAATTAATGATTTACTATTTTTATCAAACATTTAATTAAAGAATCTAATATTTTTGGTATGCAAATCAAATTAGCATTTAATTAGTTCCTAAAATATTGAGTATGTAATATTAATTTAGGAATATACATGTAGTTCTAAAATGTTGGTATGCAATACGTAAAAGAAGATTTTTTTTTAATTTTTTAAATATAAAATATTGCAACACGTAAAAGTATTCCAGTTATTTTTTTATTTTATTTTACATATAAAATCTAATCAATATTTAATGCTTCATACAAAATTGGATTTAGTTTAATTCTCCATACAATTGGTTGTAACTTTTTTAGTTGTACATTTTTTATTTATTTATTTTACACTTTTAAATTAATGAAGCTCTCCGAAAATACCAAATCAAATGATTTATGAAAGTTTTTTTTTTTTTACAATTTTAAATCTATATACCCAGCTTAAAAAGCTCATCGCATATATGGACGAGTTTAAGAAAATTTCAAAACGCAACTTATAAAATTCCATCTCCACGAGTAAAATCACACCCTCATCTATCATAACAACTTTAAACATAAATAAATAAAAGTCTAAGTACTACTATAAATCTATTATCTATACAGATTTTGAAAAAAAAAATAAATTTCACTTGTCTAATTACTAATATTTTAGATACTTTTAAATATTATTTGTAAATTTTTTTTACACTTTCTCTCTCTCTCTCTCTCTCTCTATACATATATGGAGGTTAAATGAAGAATTTTTAGACATATTTTCCTTACGGGTAGTTTACAAAAAATTAGGTAGCTTCAAACATTATTTGTGAATAATATAGAATATTTTAGATGTTTTTATAGATGTTATAAAATATTTTAAGTGTTTTTAATATTTATATATCACACTTAAAAAGAATATTTTGCTAAAAAAAGAAACATTAAATACACATTGTAAATGTTAATAGAAACAATCTTCAGTGTTCGTCTTTGATTTTGTCACAACAAAACTCATAAAATCGGTGAAGTCAAAATTTGTACGTAAAGTCTATCTATACTAAAAAAAGGTAGATTCAAAATTCTTTATCTAATTTCTTTTTTTCCTTATCTAATTCCTTCTTATTATCTAATTGTATAGGAATGTTCTGATTTTGTTCAATCCTCTAATTGTATTTGTATCATATTCCATAAAATCGATTTAACAAAAAAAATCTCATAACATCCGATAAGTAAAAAAAAAAGTACGTAAAATCTTTACTAAAATAAAAAAGGCTTTATTTATTATCTAACTGTATGGAAATCTGTTCTGATTTTATAGTAGGTACTATAAATTGTGCACCCGTGTTCAGGAGCTATTCAACGGGCAAGGTTTGTGGAAATAACTCATTTAGTGCTTCTGTCATGTACATACGGTATGTATTTGTATTACACATACTAGAAAATTGTGCACTCCGTGCATCGCACGGACTCTGTACTAATAAATGACCTTAAAATTGTGCACCCCGTGCATCACCTGTGTTCACATTTAGCCTATTACAAGTCACGTACAATAAGATTTGATAAATAGCCTTAATTTTGTGCACCCCGTGCATCGCACGGGATCTGTACTAGTTATCTTGAAGTGTCTTCACTATTTAATACTTCACTGTATAATACTAAATTTGTTTAAATTTGCCTAATTCTAAATTTGCCTAATTATTGCTATTTTTAATTAGCTTGCTCAATTTTACATACAGTTGTACATAAAACTTGGTATATTCGAACTTTATATATAGAAAAAATTCTTCAATTAAATACATATAGGGAGATATATTTGAAATTTATATATAGAAAAAAAAAATTATATAATATGCAGGAGAAAAAATAGGTAACGTCTCAATGTTTGTAGTGTCGAATCCAAAAAGGAATAAAGGGCCTTTGAATATTGTTAACAAACTTCATGTCAATGTCGTTTTATCAAAGCTGATCATTGGTACTTCACTTGAGAATTTATATCTTCACACTTCAAAAGGAACAACCTTTTTTTAAGTAAAATTCTTTTGTTTTACATACTCGCATGTATCTTTCGCCACATTTTCTTAATTTTAAAAAAAAATAAATAAATAAAAGGTGATACTTGGTTTTCAAGTTTTTGGTTCTAAAGTGCATCATGATTGGAGAATAAAATATGACATACAACTAAGAGAATAAAGTTTGGGGAAATGCTAAAAGGTCTCGTTACGGAATCGTTCCGTTGGGGTTTATAACCGTTGTATCATCATGTAAATGTTCAGAGATAATTGATTTTACGATTACAAACCCCGACGGAAT